GGAATCTTAGGAGTTGTTTAAGGACAGAAAACAGGATTTTGTGAGGAGGATAATAAGTTTTGAGGGGTTTCAATGATAAATAAGTATAACCAGGTATCAGTGGACTGGGTATGATGGGTTGGTAGATTATTTTAAAAAATCTTTACTCTTAATAACATTTTGTATTTGATTTATATTATATTCCTTTTATATATATACAATAAACATCTTGATAATTATTAAAATTATCACGTTTTTGAAGAATCATTTTATTCTGTCAAATATTTTTCTTGTTATACATATTAAATATTGTTCACAGAGAAAAAAGTAGTTCCATGGAACATAATGTTATCAGGTATTATTAATAAAAACAAATTAACTCTCAATAGTCTGAAAAACAACATGCACAAGTTGATTTATACCATAAAAATGGTAATTATGTTCTCAGTTGCTCAAGATTAAGAAGCTGCAAGTGTTGGAAAAAAACCTTCTTTGCAAGGCATCCAATATGCACACAATGGGATTAAGATGTGGAGAAAATATAGGAATATAAAGGGAAGGAGTTGATGTTCGGAAAACATTGACGGACAACTTTTCTCCTATGAGGTCGCGTATTGTCGAAAAAATGAAAATGTGGGCCAATTATGGTTCTGGTATGAGAAATATACTCTTCTTTAATTTCTTTAACAATAGGATTATCTTCTAGAATATGGTTTACATTCTGTGGCTTTGTACCCATCCCCTGTTATGAGAAAGGTGACTTGGTAAACATAACAGATTTCCAATTTGCACCCTAATATAGACGCTCACTGCACCATGATCTGCGGAGTTGCTGGCAATGCACTGTTGATGCAGGTTGTCTTAAAGGAGCACAAGATGTTAGACCAACTTCCCACAAATGATTACAAATGATTTGTGTTGGTATGGGATTTGGCAGGACATTCAACACTTGTGAAAATGGCTGCTTCTTGCAGTAATACCAATATTTCTGTCATCGCTTGGTGCCTTAATGTGCTGAGATCCACTAACAGGTCTCCTATTGGTACTTCTGTTTTTTCTAAATCTAGTTAAAGCTCGGAATACCATGATCTGGCAGACGCCAACTACATTGGTGATACCCACTTGCGGTGCCCTTGACTACTCATTTTCATGAAAATATAGCGAATGCCTGGTTCAATACGATGTCTTTTCTTCATTAAACAATTTTTACAGTTTACAAAATGAGTATTCTTCATGTTGATTATCCTTTAATTAATAATTTATTAAAAATAAAGAATACTTGTTGGTTACTTTTTGTGTTTACCAACAAATAAGAGAATACCTAACAAACATAAAAATAGGATAGTTTAATTAAAACAAATAATATTAGCATCAAATAGAAATATTCCTGTTCATTTTTGCACAATATAGAATCACATAAAAAAAAAAAAAATAAATATATATATATATATATATATATATATATATATATAATATATATATATATATATATTACCTTCAGTTACTTATCAATTGCTCAGAGCAGGACAGAAAAAACAGAAGTATCTGTATGAACTCAAGATCACGATAATATAACCAAGTAGACTGAAGTCTTTTAATTATATTGGCTTCTGACAGTGAAAATTGAATCATTGTTTATGGCTGCAACAAAAAGAAAGCAGAATAAGGAAATATATTGTTTAATAGTTCTTATAATGAATTAATTAAAATATATAATTTAAATTAAGAATATATTAATAATAAATAATAGGCAATCTTCATATTCTAAAGACTGCGTCAAATGATATTCAGATCATTGGCATTATTTATTAATGCCTCATGTACTCAACTATCATGTATAATAAATACTAAAACATGTGCCAAACACATAAATCAATAAAAAAAATAAATATCGGACCTTACAGACAGGAATAAAACAGTCTAAGCTTTGTATCAAATTGCCTAAATGAAAGAAATAAGTTTATCTAAATTTGACTAAGCACAATGGAAAAAAAACAAAAAACCTCAACAGGCATTTTTCAGTTGAGACCCGGGTATTATCACATGGTTTGCTCTCCTCCATTTACTTTCAGACACAATCGGCCATTCATGTAATTGCATTTATAGTGTGATCATGAGATCTTGTACCAATCATCAATAGTGGAGCAACATCTGTAAATTAGAAGAGTCCATCTGAGGTGAGATCTCCCACTGTTTTGTCCTCTCTATTCATTCCCAGTCCTACTCGTTTGTTTTAAAAGTAGAAATTTCTTTGATCATTTTTGTTTTTTCATTTCTTTTACGAATTTTCTTTTACTATGTCAAGTAAACTGGTTTGAGGGAAAACTATCCACTCTCAGACCAAAAACTTCAAGAAATTCATGAAAACAGAGGCTGGGAGTTTTGGGGAGGTGGAACTTAAGAGGGGGAAGGCTGCTCAAGCTCCCTTTCCCTACAGGTAAACTCATCTTAGATCCACTACATCATATATTTGTTTATTAGATCATCAAACTTCAACTTCTACTGCCTGGGTAGCAAGTAACCCCTTTGTCCTTCCTTAGATTTAGCACGGAGTAAACACAAAAAGAGTCCTAACAACAACACAAAATGTGAAAAATCCAAGAAAATTGTCTTTTGCAAAATTGATAATTGTAGTGTACACTTTAGCTACCATTTTCTATTCTTTATTTGCTGCATTTATATATTGTAAGTGCAAAGTGAATCAATTTTTTTTTAATATTAAATTCTAGTAAATATTAATTATTCATAACTTATTCCCCATCAATAAGTAATTCAGGACTTCAGTGGGAGTCTTGGGCTGAAGAAAGGGCAGACAAAATAAGCAATTTAACAAAAGTGACCATTTTGGGCATGCTAGAACTTTGCTCCTACAGAATGTTTCCATTTGTGGGCGGGGTGGCCGAACGGGCTAATGTGTGTGCACAGCACCACCGTTGCCTGGCAACCTGATCTATGAGACAATGGATTTAAAATAGTCACAAGTTCGCGTTCCGGTGCTGGGGAGTCTTTTAAATCCCCGCCCCAACCCTCTGGTCCGGGAAAACCATGTATAGCCTTAAAGGGGAGAAAGGGGAGGACCCCTTCACCTCCCCCTCCCAAAAAAAAAGAATGTTTCCATTATTCAAATTATTTTGTTCAATGTATTTTTGAGTGTTGGAATAATCCATGTTACATAAAATATTGTAGTGAATAAGCTTAATGTTATGAAAGTGTTCAAATCTATTAATATATATATGTATATATATATATATAATATATATATATATATATATATATATATATTATATATATATATATATATATATATATATATAATATATATAGATATATATATATATATTTAGATATAAAAATATCAATGTAACAGGGACATCACTTCCCCACAAAAAATTTGAATTAATTATACTAAAGATGATAGTCGTGAATTATATTGTTCCCAATGATATGCTTGACTTTTATTCATTACATCTAATTATTAAAATAAATAGGAATATGATAAAAATAATAAAACAGTGAATTGCTTAAAAACAGTTTACTGTATCGACACACCTATTTAATTATTATTTGGTAGAATTTAAAAACTTTTATTGAATTTTTCATGAAAATTATTTATTGTTTCAATTTCCACAGAAAAATATAAATCATTGATTATTTTTTATGATTCAATACAAAAAATTAGGGATTATATTCTTCCACTCCTAGTATGTTAATCACTCGATTTGTTTTTTATTTTTATCAAGGGTAAACCATACCTTTACCAGTGATCAACATTTCAAATAGTAATTGCATTATCTGGTGTTACTGCTAAACTATTTGTTTTTTATAAAACATTTAATTTAAAAAAAAAAAGTTTAATAAGCACCGTAGATGGGACAACTTTGGGACAGCGGGTAAAATTTAGTTTATGGTGATTCCGTGGTGGGTACACTGTGTTGGTTCAGTCTGCAAAAACATGCTTTGTGTAGGCATGTACTGCGCTACTACTTTGCGGCAGTTTGAGAACTAGACTACACTTGCTGTATAGTTAGCTTTTATTTATTTCCATTGGCTTTTTTGCAAAATTCTTGTTTTCATGAAACTTTTGCTTGTGCCTCAAGAGTAATGTGCTACAAGGTAATAGCGCGGTACATGCGCTGTCCATGCAGACTGAAACAACACACTGTATCCGCTCGGAATCACCACAAACTAAATTTTACCCATCCAGTCCTAAAGTTACTCCATCTTACGGTAATTAAATGGAAATATAATCGAACTCCTAATTAAATGGAAATATAATCGAACTTCTTAGAAAATATTCAGTTATTGATATGATAGCATTTTAAGAATATTGAAATGTAAAAAATGGAATGAGTCTTGGTAATCAGTTCTTTAAAATTTGATTTCAAAATTTTTGAACCAAGGATAACCTTATTATTATATTCTCTAAACATCTCATTCATTAACTGAAGCATTTATATTTATTTTTAAAAAGTTCTCATCATCACACACCTTTAATGTATTAATTATTTCCATATTTTCTGTAAACATAGTACTGTAAATTAACTAGAAGGGTAATACAAATTGAAAATAAAGATTGAGCCCTATCCACAACAAGCACTATGAAACTTCTATTTCTCTCCTGTAAGACTGTGAAAAATTTACCTATGATAGTTAAACAAATTGGAATAATAAACTCCAGAAAATATTTAAACTGTTGACTTTGATGTACAGAATCAAAGACACATTTCTTGCCTGTAATATATATGTAAAAGCTAAGAAGTCTGATTAGATGCACATTTGAACAAATATTGTTTATTTCTATTACAACATTCATGGAGGAAAGAAAGGAATCATAGAAAAGGACTAGCAAGTATCTTGGAAACCCAAATATGGGTATAATGAACATATAATACATTTTTTTTAGGTTTATTCTAAAACTTAGTTTTATAAAATGTATTTTTATGATTTGAAAACAATTTTAATAGGTCTTATATCAAGGCTTACATGAGTTCTTAATTATTAAGAGTTGAAGATATTTCTGCATAAAAATCATCAAAGAGATTATTAAAAAATAATTATGTTCGATATAGTGAAACAGTTTTATCGATGTGAGATTTCCATATTCAAGGGGGTAGAAAATATTTCTTTCATACTTGTAACCTGAAAAAAAAATATCAGAATAGTTAAATAATAATTATGAGAAGTGATAATCATTATTAAATGTGTACATTATAATTGAATAATTTTATGAATGTTATTCATTAATAATATTATGAACTGCTAAGACTATCACTGAAATATTATAGATATCAACATGACCATGAAATGGAGCCTTGCTAAACATGAATAAAATGTAGAAATAGAATTAAAATTATAAAATTAAACATTCGAAAAAAAATAATAATCTGGCGCAGTGCATAACTTTCATTTACTAATCCACTTTGAGTAGAAATTAATTTTAAATCAACTGTAACAATTATAATATAATACAATAATCCTGTTAACTATTCCTTTTTGGTGTGGTAAGGTTGAAATAAATTTTACATGTTTCGATTTAGTTTCTATGTAAATTAAATTAACTGTTTAATTTATCAAACATTTATTTTCTATTTAATAATATAAAAGTAAAAGTTATGAACAAAAAAAGTTATTAGGCAATAGTTTTTCATCACAGATAGTAAATTTTCTAATCTTCAACTTTCCAATGTTATACTATACTGCCATATTACGATAATATACTTAATAATAATTTTTTTTTTTATTAAATGCCTCTGCCGTTGGCTATTAGGCCATTCGGCTCCTGGCAGCCCAATACAACTCCGCCATGAATCCTTTTCTATACATCTAACTGTACAGCCTCCAATTTATCATTATCTTCCATCTTCTTTTTAATTAAAAGGTTACCTTGAGGGATGATTTAGCAGCGACAATTATTCCTGATGCAACCTGCCTGGATCTCTGCAGTTTATAAGTTTGATATCCCGGTAATTGGTAGAACTGGATATTTTCAGTGGATAAGCCGGCTTCTACGATCCCATATAAATCAGCATTCTCCTTTGTAATAATCGTCTTCCATTCTGTGAATTTGTTGACTGGGCCTTTTGGTTTCCTTAATTTTGATGGATTCATATTTTTGTGGATTCTATGATGTTGAACTGTCTTCGCGGCGACAATATTGTTCATTTAGTTATAACCGGAGGGCACATGTACAATGTACGGACGCGAGCAAAGTTACCTCACTTAATAATAATTAATAAATAATACATTCATCATATGTTAAATGTTCTAAAATCATTAGCTTTCCAATGATATATTATACATATGCATCAATGGCTTACTTCATAGATTTTGTATGCATTAATTTTAAAAGAGTAGATTAATCTAAGCTAGCACTAATGTTTTCAGCAAACATAAAATATTTATACCAATTACCAAACATAATTAATAAATATGGAATTGCAGAAAGCAGTCAAAAGTTACAAAAATGTTTGCTTAAAACTATAATATTTGCACTTAAAATACCTGGGTAGCTGATCATCGATATTACTTATTGTTTCTAAACTATATTAAAAAAACTTTGACTTCCTCTAAGTGACCTTTTTAGAATGATGAAGCCTTGTTGATCACGTCCTGTCACACATTATGGTTCCTGCAGAATGTCTCATTTGTTAGAGTGTTTTTGCTTTTTTTTTTATTCAATTATCCTGGTACAAGTCTTGCGCTTCTGTTTGGCTTCCTGACGGGTGTTCAGGCTTCCAACACTTTTCTGAGTTCCCCATCCTTGTTTGTATGGTAAACATGAGCTGTAGATTCTGTAGAGTGGTTTTTAATCCAGGGAGTTTTAGTTCTGCCTTAATTGTTTAATTTCTAAGGTGGTCTATTCTAGTTTTTCTTATAACATTATTTTCAACTTCATTTCAAGTCCTGCCTATCAATCAAGTAATCTACCTGTCAAATCTAATTCAGTTCTCGCTTCCGCAGGTAAGAAGAGGGAAGTACACTGGCTAGCTGTGTAGCTTGGTCTCCAGCCATACATCCTGGTGGCTTACTATTTTTTCTGAATTTCTTTTTTTTTTTCCTACTTTATTTAGTTATTAATGTCTTTCATAGTTTATATTTATCCATTATTAAAATTACTAATGAAGAGAGATTAATTGAAATAAATCAAATTAAAGATACTGCAGAGGAAGGAATTTTGAAAATTGGAAATTCAAGACCTGTCAGTCTATTTCAATAAGAATATGACCTAGCTGATAATAGGCCTGTTTAATTAATCATTAGAGCCGTTTTTGAGATAGTTGTAAAAAAATAAATAAATAATAATAGAATGAGGTTAATTATATAAAGGTAGGTCAAGGTATTCTGGTAAGTCAACTTTCTTAAAAAAGTTGCTGCAACATTTCAGACATATCGCTATCTTAAATAAATAATTTCATTTTTGTACAACTGTTCATTTTTTAGCGTGATCACATAGATACAAAAGTGACACACACAGGTTATTCATTTTGTGATACTTGGTTATTTCCATAAAGAGAACTTTAAAATATGTATTTTTGTTGAAAACTTAAATTTAAATTTTTTCACAACCACAGTAATTTCTCTTACTCTATATTTCATGTATAAATAAGTGAATGAGATAAATGTAGCTGTTGAATTGTTGCCTGCCTTATTATTCTCGAGCCTAGCAGTGCTGATACAATGCCTGGGAGAATTAAAATTTACTTCATGGAAGATCCATGGATTCAATCTCAACCTTTCTACTCTAGTTAGAATAAGTTTGGTTGTAAGATGAAAAAAAATTCCAATAACAAAAAAAATACATTCATATATTTTATATTCTATAAATAAAATTTCATCTATTATACAATGAATTCATAAGTTATCTTTTTAAAATTACTGATGCCATCATCAAAAAAATTACAATCTACAGAAAAACAAGAAAAAGGATAATAAAATGTAAATAACAGTTACCTCATCGAACCTGTTTGTAGTAAGGCTTAAGATGTGGATAGGTATTAGGCCTGGCTACCTCTTCGTACTGGTACACGACTGGTACTTTTGATATTATAGGTACATGCTCGATGGGTATAGGTATTGGGTTCTCAACATAGACAGGTACAACAGCAAGCTGTTGCACTGGAGTCTGCTGCACTGGAGCCTTCTGCACTGTCGGTAGCAGCTTCAGCAGACCTTCATTAGCTGGAAGTTCTTGGGTAAAGTAGGAGAAGCTGTAAGGCTGTTTAGGCTTTGTGTAGTATTCTGTACCTCGCTTCTTCGGTACTCCAGCGGCAACTAGAGATGCACTCAGTACTAGGAGCTGAGAGAAACGGAGAACAAAGACAGTTTGAAAGTTGAAATACCGCTAATGGCAAAATTTCTTTACACCTCTTATTGGTAAAAAAAATATATTTACACAAAATTTTCAGGGCTATAAGTGATTCTGAAAGGGTTTATTATTTAATTATATTTAAGTCTTCACTAAAATATTGATTGATGATTTAATATATTAAAGACACTAATTTAATTCAATATAAGTATTTTTCAACTAAAGATTGATAATAATTAACAAAATATATATAAATGATTAGAGAAAAAATGGAAATAAATTTCATTGGAATATTTATAATATATAAACCTATGCACACAAATAAAATGGAACACTTCGGGCTAAAGCCAACTTTCCCCAAAACTCCGTTTAAAATATATAGAAAAATCATTTGTTTTCATTGTTCCATATTGGTTTCAATGAGGGATCTGATTCAAACATTTAAACAATAGCAGTGTGTTTTTCTTTTCGTTTTTTCAATTATAACGGATGTACTTCATCAACCAAAGAAAGAATATAAATTTTGAAATCTAAAAGCAATGGTGTTCCTGTAATCATTGCTAAAATAAAATAATAAAGTTAGCTCGGCAAAAATTGAATCCTGAATCTGCTACTGTTCTAAACTAAATATATTCTGAAGCAATAAAACAGTTAAAAATCTTCAAATTGCCAGATAGTATTTTTTAAACGAAAATTCTAATTTCCATATTTTTTCTCAAAATATAATATATATTTAAGAGGTTCAATATGGAGTAGTGGCATCCCTTACAACATGGGAGAAAATAAATTAATTAAAAATTCACAATTAATCCGAGCAAATTATTGTTTAATATTTAATTAAAAAATATATATACATTAAACATATATTTTATACTGTGAATAATTGCTAACATTGATGGACTCCTCCCCTCCCTAACATTGAAAAGAATTTAAATTAAGAGCACCACAGACAAGAGAAGAAAAAAAACAAAGCAACAACTCCCAACAGGTCAAGCCATTTTCCATGAAAATTGATCTAAAAACGCAGACGAGAGTGATTTGACGCACTGAGAGGCAATTAAACGAAAAAATTGGGAATGCCCCGGAAATTGAAAGGCACGAAAAATATCCAACCAGACAGACAATGTCTCACCCGCAAAAGATCGGCGCCACACCAAAAACTTCGACACACGTCACAACTGTTACTCTCCATTAAAAAATTAACAAACGTCAATTATAATTCTCCTCATGCCAAGCTAACGTAGTAAAAATTAAAAATATCTCTCAAAAGCAAGCATCCATTACTTTTGAGAATGCGCGAAAATTGAGACGCTATAGAGACCACGACTGATGGCTCAAAATTCCAAGATTGACGACTTCTAGAAAACAACGACTCTCAATCTCGGTCACGGAGCTCGAAATCAGGCTCAATAAAAGTGAGCACGCATCCTTTTCCCAGTCAATAAAATAAGAGAGTCCCCAGTGAGATCTGGAGAGACCCGATGCCTGGTTATAAGCGTGGGCGGCTGGCCTTAGTCTAAAGTGGCATTGAAATATGCAGAACGATAAGAAACAGCAAACGAACACCTGGGCCGCTTTGTAAGGGTCGTCCCGTCGCTTAGGATGATTGATCCAGAGCGAAAAAAGTCAGTATGATTTTTGCACACGTCACCCTCGATGGGGCAAAAAAGAACCCCGACAAGACTCTGAGTCGAAGCTATGTCCGTAACCACAGACACCTGTACTGGCTGGCCCGCAAAAAGTCTGCAGAATAATCAGGTACATTGTTAGGCAGGCAAGTAAATGTCGACTAGACGATGAACAGCAGGTCGTCGCATCAACCTCCCCATCAATTTAAAAAACTTTGCTTACATGCATATACCTGTTACACACTTGAATACAATTTTGTTTTTACTTCTTATCTCCCCAGTTTAATGTTTATGTTGCTTGTTTTAATAATAGGAAAACTATGATAAATTTCATTTTAGTTTATGAGAATATTTTACCTGCTCTTCCAAACCCTAATTTGTGATTTTTTTCCTTGTTGCACAATAGAATATGCTTTTCGTTAACGAAATTTTAAGATTTTTTGGTTACCATCCTTTTATATCTAAATCTTGCACACAATTGCTCTAGCTGCTGTAGAAATATTCCTATCCTTAACTCCTTCTGTCCCGTTTAACCCAACACCCCTTCACCCCTCACTTCTTCCATGACTAATATCCTCTAACCTGCCACTCAACGCTCATCACTCTTACCCATTTTATGAATTTACGACTTTTTTTCACCATAACTTCTACCATTTAATTGCCGTATCCGAAACCTGGTTGAAACCCACAATCCTCCCGTCCCCCAATCCTTCTACCTACTATCTTTCCTTTCGTCATGAGCAGAGTAATCGCACGGTGGGAGTAGGTCTCTTGTCATGACAGTCTCAAATCCAAAATTCTTCACTACGCCTTCCATAACCATTCTCCCACGTTGAGATACCTTTTTCGCCGAAATCCCACACCTCATCTGCCTTCTGTTTTGCTGTCATATACGCCCTCCTAGAATTCCTTTCATTTGGGGAAAAAAATTCACTTGAGACTTTATTGTAAACTTAAATCCCTTCCTACTCAAACACATCCCTCCGGTAGATCTTTAAAACACCATTTACTGCACCATCCTCTGATTATTCCGCCTACCTAACAAACCTCTTTAATTCTCTCACACCTTTACATATACCCTACAACCAACCCATCCTACTCTAATTCAAGTCCTGGCTCGATCAATTAGCCTGGATCCTCAGACAAACTCTATCCGCTATCTCAGCACCCTTCCGTTTCTATCTTCCCACGATACTTTCCAATCTCTTACAATGTCCCCTGCTTCCATCCTTTTCTCCCGAACAATATCCGTCCCGAAACCTAGATTACTCACTCACGAAACATTTCAGAAGGTCTTGACGATATCCTTGGATCCATCTACTCCTCAAAATCCATAGAACCACACCATGGTCGAAAATCCTAACCACAAACTTCCTCTATCCTCGAACCAACATGCCTCCTCGTTATCATAAAAAACCATCCATAACCTCCAGCTCCTTGCTTACACCCCCTGCTTTGAGGGAGTGATGAGAGAAAAGATGATACTGCAAGGCGAAACGGTTTAAACAACTCACTTCCGATGATTTTTCTCCTACAACACATCGAACTAGCATTCCTCAATCAGCATACGCCGTCTAAAATCCCCTTACTACCATCATTCCCCTACCAACCTCTCCAATACAAGCTACGGGGCTATTCCTTAAAAACTGACCATTGTATAACACCCCATCTCAGTCAATACGTTTCTTTCTGCTGATAACCTCAACCCTCACTTTGTCTCCTGTCCTCTTGCATCCACATCTCCCACGTCAATCTGGCTCCTATATTTCTCTTCCTTAGCCTGAACACTTCTTTCTTCCCATATACACCAATGACTCCTTAAATCCATTCAGAACCCATACCAATGATTACGGCCCGCAACATCCCAGTCAGACTCTGATTAAAGCCGCATTTGCCATCCATTCTTCGAACCTTTATCAATTTACAATTATTCTCTCAAAATGCTACCTTCCCTACATCCTGTAAAACCCCCTAGTACCCATTGCGAAAAGACTTCAAACCCCATCAGTTCCTAATGATTTCCGACCGATTTTCCTCATTTCAAACCTCTCACAACCATTAGAGCGTGTATCAATCCCACTATCCATTTTTTAGAGGATCAATAATCTCCAAATCCCTACCAGTCAGTCTGGATTCAGCTGGGTTATTCTACTCCTCATTCTCCCTAATCAAAATTTTCAGACAAGAACCTTCACACAGCCATAGATCACAGAAACTAACCATCCTTATTCTCCTAACTTCTCCAAAGCTTTTGATTCAGTAGACCACAACATCCTCCTAACCAAACTATAAAAATATCTCGTTTTCTTCTAGTTCCCTTAATATTGTTCCAATCCTTCCTAACCGGTCGCTCCTCATACTTAAGTCCTAATAAACCACCATCGAATCTCTAACCTCTGACCAAGCGTCCCACAAGCTCTTCCTTATCCCCCACCGCTGTTCTCCTCCTATATAAATACCTCCCATCCCTCTATCCTCTTGTCATTACCACCTTATGGCCGACGACATTTCAAAGTTACCTCTCCTTAATCGAAACAGAAATCTCAATGCCACTCAAACCTTCAGGAACATATTGACAGAATAAGTGCTTGGGCAAACCTCAATAGCTCACTCGAAAACGCCGAGAAGACAAAAGACCAATCATGACGGATCCCCTTTCACTCCTCAAATCCTCCCCATATCTCCCAATCTCTTCCTTAACAACTCACCTATCTTAATTCTACTACACCACCGTTAAAAACCTAGGTGTTACTTTCGTCAGTGCCCTATCCCTGGAAACCTCACATCTCCCAAATTTCCTCGCACTTCTCCACCCTAAAACAAGTTCATCTCTACATAGCAACTTCCATATAAGTCCCTCAACTCCTTGTTTCCTCCCTTTTTCCCCACTTCGACTAGCGCTGTATGTATACGGTGGACTCCGAGATTCCGAGGCCAAACTTAAACGCCTAATGAATTGCGCACTACGATTTGTTTTCGGAATCTCAAGATACGCATATTACCCCAGTATTACCATTAGTGGCTCTAACCCATCCTATCGCCGTCAGTACTTTCTAGCCACTCTTCTTACCAAAATATTAAACCCATCAACTGCTCCTAACATTTTCACAGCTTCAATTCTAATATTCCATCCAATCCCTCCCACCAATCTCGTACTTCGACCTCTATCCTCCTCCTCACCAACCTGCTGCGTTTGACAAACCTTTGCATCTTGCCGCCTCCCTCTGATTTCCCCCTCCCACCTATATTCGACACCTCAATCAGTTTCCTCGTTAAACCACGCCTCATTAAGCAACTACTCCTTTCTCTCAATCCGAATATTAGAAATATATCTCAGAGAAATATCTGCCACCACCGAGAGAGTACTCAATTTATTTAAGTTATGTCAGTTTCTCATACATATGTACAATTTACTGGTTCTTTTTTTTATCTTTCTGTATTTAGTATCGTAAAGTCAACTTTCATTGTAAATATACAAGTTCAAGTGTAGCCACACAGACATTAATCGGTATTCATGTTATTTTTCTTGAAGGACAACAGTCCCACTGAATAATAAATCATTTTTTTCATTTCATTTTCTAATTTTTCACAGCGAATTTTACGGGGGACTAGAGCCTGGCTTTCGGGCTAGAGACCCTCCCCCTTCCCTCCCCCCAAAAAAGGGTAAAATATGACCATTTTTTATAGAAAAAATTAATAAAAACTATCTCTTAAAATATTATTGTTCGTGTAATTATATTTAATAGGACTTCAAGAATCACTTAAACACCATGCCATACAGGTAGTTAGTTTCTTTTTTTTTTTCAAAATTATTATCGTTATATATATGACAAAAAAAAATTTTTTGGGCTGAATCCCCCCCAAAATTAAATCCTAAATCCGCTAGTGAAGAAAATTGTTCTTCTATTTTAAGCTGTTAATACTAAAAAAAAAATTAAAATAAGCAATAAAACACACAGACTCACCAGAACAGTCTTCATGGCTTCCTGTGACAGAGAATGTAAAACCTAAAAGTCCGCGCAGTTCCTTATATATCCACTAAAGCTTTCGCGGTACCATTGTACCAGGATCAATGGCTCCTAAGGCCACAATGGTTGATGGCACAATCACCGCTATGAAGAGATTTCACACTTCTTCCGCTGGTTTCATCGATGTCTTTCGTCGATAATTATCGGTATGTTGTTTTGTATATGTTGGAGGTGCTGCATCAATTTTAACCATTGTATTTTCTTCTTCTCAGGCACGTAAAGCATCTTTACATCTGATGAAAAAAAAGAGGAAGGCGTAAAGGATTCGAAGCATGTCGAACAAGCATGGCTATATCAAGACACGTTCACGCAGGAAGTGTCATATCCTAGGACATACTGCCAACGCGGTTTTCATGCTTTCGCTTAGTGTTGCTGTCAGTCGTTCTTAAAATCGCTATACTTGTAGGCATGACATAACTTATAAAACAAGCATATTATACAATGATATATTTCATCCTAAATAACATATAGTAAGTTTAAAAAGTTAAATTGAAGCAAAAACATAAATTCTTTTTACGTAGATACTTCCTCGATAATTTAGTTTATCATTAATTTTTAAAATATTATTTTAATTCTTTTCCGCGTTATAAAACTTATATATTTAGTACTTTTTTCTTCTTCTTCTCCTTGTTATTATAACTTTATGATGTGTTCAATTGATCTTAAAATGCCCGTTTAAATCTCGGTCGACTTCCGCCACTCATCCTACCTATACCTATTCCTGTATTTAGTGCACCTGGTTCTACGCGTTTCCTATTTCATTTTACTTTCACTTACCTATATATGAAAGATATAGTAAGAGACAGTATTGCGACCGTGAAATTTTTCGAATCTCAGATTTCAACGGAAATACGCATTTACAGAAAATACACTGACATACCTTAGACAACTGACAATAATAATACACTGACATACCGAGTTTGATCAAAATTGTTAGAGCCATTTTCGAAAAATATGTAACATCGATTATATAAAGTTCCACTTCCGGTTAGCCGATTTAGACGAAAAAGATACTGTAACATCTGGGATATATACAAACCGTAAATATGCAATTTCGCTTTCATAATTTTCGTTTTTGAGCAAGACTAGTCACATACACACACACAGACACTAGCGGATCCAGAATTTAATTTTGGGGGGGAGGGGGCTTCAGCCCGAAACCTTTTTTTTTCATAAAAATTACGATAATTACTTTGGAAACACAGATTCCTGATAAGTGATTCCTTAAGTGATTTTAAATGTAATTACACGAACAATAATACTTTAAGAGGTATTTTTAAAAAAAAATTTCCCATAAAACATGGTTATATTTTTCCATTTTGGGGGTGGGCTTCAACCTGAAAGCCCCTCCCCCCCTCCCGTAGATCCGCCCGTGCACACAGACCATTTAGCGGGACTTGGTTATTTGGCCTGAAGGGAACGCAAAACATCTTATCTGTTAAAATAAGTGTTTTAATAGTGTTTCAACTGCTTCCCGCAGTGCTACATCCTACGTCCTGAAGACGACCTGCAAAGTGGGTCGAAACGTCGGCAAAATTAAAATAATTGATATATTTTAATTTATTATTAATTTGACCGCACCCCCGACTAACTCCTTCTCATATTATATCAACGGTCAACCATCTCTACATCATTTGGATGTCTTTTAATGAGAAGATTAAGGAAAGGGAGGGAATTGTTATTTTCGTATTCAACTGTAAAAGAGAGGCGGGGATGATATGAGTTAAAGGCGGAAAGGATGTAATATTTTAAAATATATTTTAATTTATTATTTATTTGACCGCACCCACGACTAACTCCTTCTCATATCTGTTAAAAACTCAGATTCGAAAATTTTTATGATCGCAATACTGTCCCTTACTATATTTTTCATGAATAGGCAGCGAAAGTAAAAATTGGTTGAAATGGATGACCCACTGGTTGCACGGGCGGATCTACGTGGGGGGGGGGGCTTTTGGGCTGAACCCTCCCCCCCCCAAATGGTAAAATATAACCATGTTTTCTGGAAATTTTTTTTTAACAATACCTCTTAAAGTATTATTGTTCGTGTAAGTACACTTAAAAGGACTTAAGGAATCACTTTATCACCATTTCATATAGGTAGTTAGTTTCTTTCTGTTTTCCAAAGTAATTATCGTTATTTTTATGAAAAAAAAAGGTTTAGGGCTGAAGCCACCCCCCAAAATTAAATCCTGGATCCGCTAGTGACTGGTTGTAAACTCCCTTTTTGGTGTTTTTTTTGCAATAAACCGTTTCATTTTCCATGAAAACATTTTAATATGTCATTTCTATATCTGCAATTATTTCCCAATAAAAAGAATGTTTCTGAATACTTATGCACATAATAAAAAGAATATAAAAGGTTATTAATATTTTATACGTACTTCTGTGCTTCTTGTCTTCAATGTAAACGTTTTTGTATTTGAAACAGACTACCTTGCGTGTTAATGATCAGTCATAGTGAACAGAAATATTTCTTTCATCAAAGGGTCTCAATCATGAGAAGGTAGCTGAGACAAATCGTAACACAGCTGATTCCAACTACAGAAATAGCGCCAAAGGAAGCTGCTTTAGTAGTGAACTATTGCTTTTAAAATAAATTTATTTTAAGAAAGTTTTAGTTTTACGTATATTAAAAAAACTTAAATAAAAATAACTACTATTTTAAATTAAAACCAAAGTTTATAATAAAACCAATATTAAATTAAAAGTTAATATGATGAAACGATTTCATCACTGCAAAAAAGGAGGGAAACTCAGTCTAATTGCACTCTGTAACTTAACTTATTTGAGTAAACTGTGTTTATTTTATAAATAGTGATTTCTTAATTAGCTTAAGAAATTTTAATTATATTCATATACGTTATATAAAGTACTGGATGATAAAAAGTTACTTTGTTCCACTGTAAGTAAATACCTTGTTGAAATTATTTTTTTCTAAATTTCAGTATCTTCTACTGTAGGTTTTTGGTTCCCCTGAAGAAACTACCTAATACTCATGTATACATTTTGATTGATTTATTGTATTTTAGTAAACATTGGAATTAAAAAATCTTCCCTGTTTTGGAGTTTTTCAAAGCTTAGATTAAATATATTTGTCTTATAGCGGTTGGAATGAATCCCTGAGAGATGCTTTCATTAAATCACATCAGGACAACTTCATTCTTGAAAATTCGAGTTTCTGTTTATATTGAAAACAATTGTCATTAATGTTCATCAGGGTTAATATCTGGACTATATGAACGTTACTCTAAACAGGAGATCGAAACATTTTCAAGTTATTGAAAATTGGTGGAAACTATTTTTTTCTCTACTTCAGATATTGAAAAAAAATATATTTGTGTTTTTTAATAAGATAAACTCAAGAACAATTTGAGAAATTGTTGTTTATTTATAAATTAGACTTCCATATTTTTCATTTATTTAATCAAATAACATTACAAAAAGTTTGTAATATTTTGAGATCTCACCCTCATCATTACACTGCAATATTATCTAAAATATATCTTAGTAATGTTAAATATTAAGTAATTTTATGATTAATTAATTTACATAGTTAAAAAATCATAATATATCATATTTTATTTGGAAATTTATAATTTTTATAAAATTATATTTTCACCAAGCAAATTTGGGTTGTTGTTATCCTCAATTTGTTTTACAATAAGAATCTTGTTATAGTTTTGTTGGTTCATATCATTGCTGAATCTAGAGTTACCTGGATAATTATTTTTTAAATTGCGTTCATCTCCACAGTGTAAGAGAGAATGAAGTATTGTATGAGTGTATTTGGACAGAGGAGCCCAAGAGTTTCATGGTACTAGTTGTGCTATCAAAATTTGTGAGGAAGGCACATTTTGACTGTTTTTTAAATTTTATTTTCTGGGGGAGATGAGGCATATTTCAACGGGGTTATGAATTTTAGGAATGAAAGTTTTAAAGATTTTATTTGTCATTAATATATGTCGATTTGTCAGTTATTATGTTCATCTGTGGCATGCTTTGAAATAAACCAAAGTTTAGTATAAGTTCTTATTTTTATTTTGTTTTTGGGGCTGTTCGCTCAACTTCAAAGTCTTTGTGGATGTCCAAGAAGGTTTAGTATAGTCGATAGATTAGTCTCTTGTTTCATAAGTTAAGAGAGGATTTATAATTTTCATGATTAAAATTAATATTTTTTTTTAAATCTAAATATTGTTAAAAAAGGAAATACATGTGTTAAAATCAAATTGAAACTGACTTTTTTTCATCCCAGAAGATAAAAACGAATAGTTTGTGTCCATACTTTCTGCTTGCTATTTTTTATTATAATACAGGATCTTATTCTTGAATAATTTTAAAAAATGTAGCAGGTCTCTCTTATCAATAATTTTTTCCTACTTATGGCAAAGACTTAATATATGTAATATTGATTAAGGTGGCCTTGATATCTAGATAGCTGGACAGATATGCTATAAAAGTATTAATTTGAGGATAAATATGTAGATGGAATGTGCATTGTTAGTGCTTCATGATGTAAATATTTATTCTATAAAGCATTGTTTGATTTATGACTATAAATTATAACATTGCTGTAAATATTAAATTATTTTTTAGAGTTCAACAAAATCAATGTATAATAAATGCATTTTTAAGTGAATATTTTTTTACTTTAACGAAGTTGATTAGAATAATACTAAAGAAACTAGTTAATGTATTATTTATTTTTAAAGATTAAATCTATTTTTGAAAATTTACTTTAAAAAATGCTATGAATTCTGTGTTAGGTGTACATAATTTTCAGTTGATCTATATAGTTATTTATTGATTTTCATCTTTATCTATGACTCTCAAAAATAATCACCAAAATTGTTATCACAGCATTTATATTTAAATTTTTGAATAGAATTTATAAATCGATTAATCTTACTTTGATTATTTACAAATTTTATTCTAAAAAACAAAATAATTAAATTCTATAAAAAAAAAAATAAGAACTGATCTAACACCTCTTGGAAGTGTTGGTTTATTGTTTGATCTTTAAAACCATACACATTTTAATACTTTTCATCTAATTATAAATTATTGCTCATTTTAAAGACCAGATCTAAATTCAATTATTAAGATATATATCTCATTGTCAACTGTCATTGCACTTGTCTAAAACAGTCTTTTGTCTTGTTCACCATTTTGCATTCTATATTTATTAGGAGTATGAAATAGATTATCACTTCTCAACCCATGTTTCAGTTTGGTATAATTGTATGCATATAAGACTAGTTTTTAAAGTATTTCCAAACAGTTTCATTGTTTAATTATAGAAAAAGGAATTTAATC